ATATGGGTTAATGTTGGACTTGTGGGCTTGGGCAGCACTGGGTTGGGATGTTTTCTTGATGTGCACTTACCCTTTATATAAAACTCTCTTATACATATGAGTTTCTGTGGATTTGTTTCTCTAATATACCCAGACTAACACAGCTGACCTCGTTCAGATCTCCACCTGCATTGAAGGCTGTAGGAGACCCTGTGGGATGACTGGGGAATTCAAGCATGGCCTAGACTCCAGCCCAGGGGGTACAGACAGCTAAGCTGGAGGCTCCCACCCACCCGGAGGTGCCTGGGAAGAGAGGCCTGGCAATCACCCTTAGAAAGCCTACGGAGCAGCTCTGCTCTGCACAGGTGGCGATCACTGTCTGAACCTGAAGGTAAGGCCACCAACCGGGTGGGAGAAGGTCAAACCGGAAGGAATTACTTCCTGTCCCTGCTGTTAGGGGCAAATGGTGCTCTCATTAGCACAGGCTGAAATCTGCAGATGTGAAGAAACTGTATTTAAAAGACAGTGGCACAGACTGCGTGCGTGCATGTGTGCCACCTACAGAATCCACTGTATTCTACCATGAGAGCTGGGCATGCTCTCCTAGCAGGGGGCTTCCCAAAAGCCGGGGTGGAGTGTGGGGCGGAGGGGAGACCCAGTGTCTTTTCATTCCCCTTTGGCACCCACTTTCGGAAGCCTGCTGATACGTAAAGCATCCTTCGTGAAGAAGCTTCCCACTCCCAGAAAGCGGATGAAGCCATGTGGCAGGATGCTAATTAAAACCGAGGTGGTGGGCATCTGGGGGCTTAGTCTACCATTCTCAGCACTGCTTAGCAAGCTGGACATGTTTTACACTAAGGGAAGGGAAAAGGGGACGGAGTTCGTCTGGACAGGCGGCACTGGTGCACCAGCTCTCCAGCCCTGGGTGCTGAGTCGCCGTGACCTACCAAGGCCCAGGGGACAAGGTCAAAACCCAACATCAGCTCCTCAGGGGCTGGCTTCCTGGGCCATCACTGGCCCTGAGACCGCCGCGGTGTGCCCTGAGCACCTACTAGGAGCCACGTTAGCAGGCTGGGTGCCTTGGTCAGTCACTTGGTAGACCTCAGCCCTGCCATTCATGAACAACATCACTTCATTTCTGGGTGGCAGCTGGTGTCAAGTCGGCCCCCGCCTCGTGACGACCCCCACGCTCAACAAAACAAAGCCAACCACGGCTCAGTCCCGCCGCGACCCCATGAGTGGCTATGGTTCTGTTTTGATCTGTGAGACATTTGTTGGCTGATTTTCAAAAGCCAATGACCAGGCCTTTCTTCCTAATCTTAGCCCGGAAGCTCTACCGAAACCAGTTGGCATCCTAGCAACATGCAAGTAAACCTCCATTGACAAGCGAGTGAGTGGGAGGGAGGCTGCACATGTGGGGAATCGAACCCAGGTCTCTCATAACAGGCCCTTTATGTAAGTGTCCTTGGGCGACAGGAAGGAAATATCATGAGCTGGGTAGCTAACAAGAACAGAGGCTTCTTCCTGTCCTACAGTTCTGGAGGCTGGAAGTCCAAACCAGGGTATCCGTGGGGTCGATTGCTACTGAGGACCAAGCACTGAGAGAACATTTGCAGACATCACCCCGAGACCAGAAGAACAAGGTGGTGCCCGACCACCACCAGCACCGCCACCACGAGCGGGTCTGAAAGGGTAAGAAGAGCCTGGGCGGAGTGGGAGAGAAAGACCAAGCTCGTGGGTCAGATGGAGACTGGAGGAACCCCAGGATGAGTGGCTCTCGGTCACCCTTTGGGTCTGGAGCAGAACTCGATCTTGGGGCTCAGTTTTCTGCCAGATAATAGGTCTGTCAGGGGCAGAGTGACACTAATGAGGTGTGCACACCTCAGACCAATCAACCACATGAGACCCAAACCTCCACCCCAGGACAGAGCTCCGAAAGTCTAGGAAAACAGGAGGAATGGGCAGGAAACAGAGGGAGCAAGTGAAACAAGTGGTATTCACAGTGAGGACTGCAATTGAGAAACAAACAAACAAATTTACTGCCACGGAGTCCACGCAGACTCTCGGCAACCCTATAGGACGGGGTAGAACTGCCCACTGGAGGCTTTCAAGAGCCGAAAGCCTCGTCCTTCTCCCCTCCAGCCCCTGCTGGTTTTGAACCGCTGGCCGTGTGGGTAATAGCCCCACATAGAACCACTATACCATCAAGGCTCTTTGCGGAGGTGCAGTGAGCAACAGGACACAAGGTGGGTATGGATGGTTGACCCAACTCACAGTAAAAAGTTAAAAAAAAAAAAAACACCCAGAAAAAGAACATTTGCAGACATCCCTGGCAATCTGGTCAACAGCTTGCTGGTCCGGTGCTGCTACCACCCTCACTGTCCAGGGGCCAACTGAGGCCCAGAGTCCTAGAGCCACCCATGGCCCGCCCCACTGTGAGCAGCATGGAGCCCCTTCTACGGCAGCCTGCCAAGGGAGCGTCACGCAGACACAACCGGGTAAATTGGATCTTATTTTAAATGTACTCTGGGCACTCGTTACACAAAGTGTCCTCTGGTGAATTCTAGTACTGCAAAAAAATAAAAAAGGAGGAGGAGGAAAAGAAAAAGGATGTGTGCAAAAAAGAAAGAAAAGAAAAGAAAAGAAAAAGGATGTGTGCACTTGTCATCTACCTTTCAGGAAATTCTAAACGTGTGCGCGCGCATGCGCGCACGTGCGGAGGGCCCCCTCTGGATCCCGTGGTTGGTTAGACTGTGCCCCTAAAACGACACTGAAGTCCTAACCCCCATGCCTGAGAAAGGAGGCCTTTGAAGATGCCATCCTCAGTAAGGAACAGAAGGTCATGCTGGCGTCCGGTGGGTCGGAGTCCTCTAGGATTGGGCGAGGACACTAAGGAGACACCGAGAGAGGCCAACCGAGGAACAACACGCGTGAAGGGGCATCGATGTGCCAAGAACTCGTGAGGGGACCAGTAGGCGGGAGAGGTGGGAATCAACAAGGCTGACCCCCGGCTCAGACGTCCCGCCTCCAGGGGCTGTTTTAAGCCATCCACTTTGGGGGACGGGCAGACCCCCGTTATGAACCAACCTCATCAAACCTGTGATGTTGAAAGCTTAAGACCCAGGCAGTGGTTTTCAATAACCAAGGGGCGCGAATCCGCACCCCACCTCAAAGCACCATCATGATCACAACTGCCCTCTGACGTCAGCAGCCTTGAGGGTCGGCTGGTTAACGGCTTGATACCTAGAAAGCTCCCCCTACATACTATTCACTAGCACAGACGTCTGACTGGCGCAAACTATGGGCCACACCCAAGTGCTCTGATATACTTGCTAACTGGACGTAAAGGCTGACTTCGGTACAGACTCATTCACAGGCTGGGGACGGCCTGCACTGTGCTCTGGAAGCGCTAAGAGATGAACGCTTGTGCTGACCGATGACACTAAGAACTCACATTGACCACGTTAACTGGCCCAAGCCTCGTCTGGGGCCCTCAGACTCCGGTGAATCATGGTGGCATCTCGCAAGAACTGAATGCAGACACCCCTGCTGTCACTTCCGTCACTACACATCCTCCTTGGAGCAGCCTGTCTGGATACTTCTGGGCCGTGCAAGACTCTCGCCCTGCTCACGCTCTCTGTCGCACCCGGCCTGGCGAGGCCTTGGCTGCACGGGCACTGAAAGGGAAACGCTATGGATAGGCAAGCAGCATGGTTGCAGGGGGAGCGGCCTGGTAAGCTCGGCATCCTGTCTTTACCCCGGAACCTTCATCTGGGCCAGCAGCCCCACCCATACCCAAGTTCTCACTCCAAAGGCTCTCCGGAGCCAGAGCTGCCACCCAATGTGAGTTCCTTCCCCTCCGTTTCCACATCTATGCCATGAGCCTCGTGGCCAGGCCTGGATGAGCCACTTGCACCACCTGTGGTGCTGTCGGGTTAGCACAGGACTGCAAACCGTGAGGTCGGGGGTTCAGAGCCACCCGTCGCTCCTTGGTGGAACGTGGTATCAGCTCCCATCAGAGTCACTGTGTCCAGTAACTCCTGACAGGTACCTGACACCACAATGCCTGGCCCCCTGCTACGGCTTGGCAACCTCCCGGCTATGACCAAACCATTGGAGGCGGCATCTTCACAGGCACGAGGACCTGAGGAAGCAGCCAGGGCCAAGCAAGGCGTTCTGCAGAATTCAAAAGTAACAGGGACGACACCGAGGCTGCAGCTCCTGTTGTCGGTGTCGGGTGCGGCCGCCGTCAGGTCTGACTCTCAGTGCCAGGTGACAAGTGAGAACTGCCCTGCCAGATGTCTGCAGAGCCCCGGTGGGTCTCACCTAGGCTCCTTCAAGGAAGGCCAGCTGTTCAGTAAAGAACCCAAGCTAGTGAGAGATCCTTCCTGGAGGAGATGGGGTTTGAACCCTTGATCAAGACCTCTGCTCCGAGGCCTCGCCTGTAGCTCTGTGACCCAGTGGGGAAGCTGAGCATATTCATGAGACAGGTTGCTTCCCGGGCCCACACCCCTCATTTCTGGGGGAGATGAATCCCACTGCACTTTGCAGAATGGGGGGGTGGCGGGAGGTTTCCTGACGCAAGCCCACCAGCAGTGTGTAACCCTGAGGCCAGTCCAGCACCAGAGGGCACGCCAGGCCCTAGAAGTGGCCACTCATTCAGACCAGTCCCTGTGGGCCAAGGGGGACTTCGCTGGCCTCTCCAGCCCCAGAACCACTAAGCCCATCTCGAAATTGAAGCAAAACACTAACCCCAAACCAAGATATGTGGCGATTCCAACCAGAGCGACCCTCTCAGGGTTTCCGAGACTGCCTCTGGTGGGCTCGAACTGCCAAACTTGCGGTTGGCGTCCCACAAGCAAACTCCACACTCACTGCAGTCAAGTTGATGCTGACTCACAGCGCCCCCTGCAGGGTGCTGAGACTGTCACTGTCGACGGGAGTAGAAAGCCCAGTCTTTCTCAGGTAGTTTCGAACTGCTGACCATGCAGATTGCAGCCCAACACATAACCACTACACCACCAGGGCTCCACAAGCAGGGCCCTGAAAATACAAAATAAAAATAGTACACACACACTCAAGCCAAACCTACCACCACCGAGCTGCTTGCAGCAAACTTGTATAGAGTGTCTGAGGCTGTGAATCTTTATGGGACCAGACAGCTGAGCAACGGCTGATGGGTTTGAACCACTGGCCTTGCAGTCCCACTCTTCCCTGACGATACCACCAAGGCTCCTAGCCAAGTGCTAGCCCTCTTAACCTGATAACAGCTGGTGATCCAGAAGGTGTGTGTGTGTGTGGGGGGGGGGGGTTTGAAAGGACAAATACATGTAGTCGCTGGGGGCACAATCCATTTGCACTTGGCTGGAAACCAGAAACTTGGTGGTGAAGGGCCACCCAGTAGCACCCGGAAAGGAAAAAGCCCCCAGATTTCTCTCTGAAGATTACAGCCAAGAAAACCCACATGTGGCAGTTCTATTCTGTGTCACACACGGGCTCTTCAGACGTCACGGAGCCACGGCAAACACCCCACGGGGAAAGATAAGGGCGGCGGCTCTCATGCCAGCCAACCCCGCAGGTGAGTGACAGAAACGAGGGCTGTGAGCCCTGGGGGCCTGGAGAGCACCCTGGCCCCCTGGGAACAGCTGTCTCCACCTGCCAGCCCCTGCCTGGAGGGAGTGTGTGCCCAGGGCCGGCACACCTGGGCTCTTCATCTGCCAGGCCCTGCCCGGAGGGAGTGTGTGCCCAGGGCCGGCACACCTGGGCTCTCCAAGGACGCAGACACACGGAGGGCCTCCTTCACTCCCACTGGCCATGAACTCCAGGTTGCAATCTGCTAGGTTTTCTTTGGAGGGAGACAGCTAGAAGGGGCCTGGCAGGGACCCCCTGGGAGCAGAGAACGTTCAGTGACGTGACCCGGAGGGGCTTGTTCAGTGGGTGACTGTTTCTTGGAGCCAAGCACCTGTGTTCTAAGAGAAAGACATGCCCGGGATGCCCAAACAACGCAAGTTCTACCAGGATTCAAAACGTGCATGGGTCACTGCCCACAGCTTCTGAAATCAGAGCTGTCGACACGAACCACATGGGCAGATTCTGGGCCTGAGACCTGCTGAGAGATTTTCCTTTGCCCATTTTGCTTTGGCTGCTAGGAAGCTCCAAGCCAGATGTCTGACTCCACGTTCACTGCCGATGCCAAAATGGACTGTGGGAGAAACAACTGCGGAGATGCTGTGTGGTAGCCCCTGGGTGGCGCAGGGAGGGCTGCTGCCCTCGGCTGCTAACGAACGGGAAGGGAGGAGCTTCAAGTGCACCTACAGGTGCCTTGGAAGAAAGTCCCGGTGATCTAGCTCCAGAAAAGTCAGCCGCTAAAACTCCCGTGGATTACAAAATCACCAGCAGGAGACCCAAGAGTCGGCAACTACTCGAAAGCAGAGAAGGAAGAGGAAGGGGACCGGGAAATGAGATGGCAGGAAGTGAGGGAAACATGCCCCCAGACATGCCCCGGCCTCAGAGGGCAGTCAGACTCACAGGACAGAGTGGAACTGCTCCTCGGGTTTCTGAGACGGTCAGTCTTTAAAGGAGCAGCGAGCTCATCACCTCCTGTGGAGCAGCTGGAGGGTTTGAACCGCTGACCTTATGGTTAGCAGTCTATCCCTTGACACCCCCTGGGCCACCAGGGCTCTTTGGGGAACACCCAGAAGGAAAATGACAAGAAAGTGAAAACGCTATGGGAAATGGAACCAGCTTGTCTGAACAATTTGTGTATTAATCGTCCGATGAAAACAGCCCCGGCGTGTTGACTTTCGCCGCAAACACAATACATGAAAGAGATCACTCATGAAAACAACGACACCGCCAGGGTCTTGTGGCCGGCCGTGGGCTGGGCACAGGCTGCCTTCTCGGCTTGGTGTGCCGGGAAAGGAAATGTCCTCTGGCCCGCTGAGCCTCCTCCTCCTCCCTGGCACGGCGGCCTCCCGGTCCTGCCCGGCCCTCCTGCCCGTGGCCTGGAATGTAAACCAACCTGCTAGTACAGGAAAGGCCCGGCTGTGCCAGGGTGCGCGCCAGGGTGCAACTGTTACCGGGGGCTCACCGTGCATGTCCATCATCCCCGGGGAGGAGCTGTTCTCCGGGGTGGTCACCTCCGAGCCGCACTTCTCGTCCTTGCCCTTCTTCTTGTTCTTGTTTTTCTGCGGGGGGAGAAAATGGGGGCAGAGACCCAGTCACCCAACTCGTGTATGGGGGAATTTGGGGTTTTGGGGAGAATGTTACTCTGCAGATCCACCTTGGACCCCTGGTGAGTCTCTAGAAGGTTCCTCAGGCTGTGTGTGCCTGTGGCCCAGTAGGGCCATGCTCTGAGACTCACCTGCTTTGGGGTGAAAGGGTCCATGGGGGTGGGGAGAGACACACAATCAAGGGGCAGTGCTGAATGAGGAAGGTCCCCGAGTCCAGTTGGGGGGCCAAACTGGCAGGTGTGTGAGCCCTCAGGCTACGGGAATTTCCTCTTCCCCAAGGGAACGCATCTGGGGAGAAAAGGCCACCGGGTCACCTGGAGTAGGGACAACCTGATGCTAGCAGAGTGCCAGGGGACAGATGTCACACCTCCCTTTCCCCCCGGGCTGTGTTTCCCTCCTCTAGGTGTGGACAGCAGACTTTGGCTCAGGTTAGGTGGCGGGGAACTCCAGGGAGCAGGGAGCAGGAGGGGCAAGGCAGGCTCTGAATTTTTGGAACCGGTCCTAGTTTTCACAGCAAGAGCAGAATGGAGCTGGAAATCCCCTAACCTGCCCACCAGCAAGAGGCCTGGGAGGGCTACGGTACCGTGTAAGACGGTACAACAGTTCCGCAGTGTAAGGCCGCCTGTCTGCCAAAACACTAAACACGCTCTCTCTAGCTCCAGACACCGAACAGGCGCTGAACAGGTGAGGCGCATCCCGGCCGTGGCGAAGGAAAAGATAAATAGGTGTGTGTCCCCTCCAGAAGAATTTATTTGAGAGGACGGCACTGAAGCTGCAACTAGGGGAGAGGGGCATGTCTGAACAGAGCAAATGGGCGCACTTAGTGGGAGGAAGA